ATTGAAAAGACTATATTAAAATATCTATCAACAATGAAACATTAGTTCACAATAAAATATTTATGTAACCAATAGATAAAAAAAATTACTTTTGATCCAAAAGAAATTTTTTGGAATATAGTTTATTCCCACTTTTAAATCTATGTGTTTCCAAAACCAATGATTAATGTGAGAGACCTACTTTAAGTTACAAAAATATATAAAAACCTACTTAAGTTACAATACAATAAAAAATAATATATAAATTCTTGAATTGAAAAATATTTATTGACTAAGCAATACTTATTATCATTACCTTCATGAAAAATAATATTTTGTAACTTAATATTTATATGCACAATTCATGTTATCACTTTTTTTACTTGAGAAAAAATGTGTTAATATAAAAGTTTAAAAGATAAATATTTAAAAATTTAAATATAGTAGCAATAATAATAATTATTCTCTTTACTTTATTTTTTCCCACTTTTCATTTAATAAAGCATTATAATAAAAATAACCTTGCATGTTAAAAACTATTATTTAGAGCTTTCATATGTCTAAAACATAAATAGTAGGATTAACGACTAACCAATTATTTGGCATCTAAGTAGGATCTTCACATAGAGTAAGATTTTCACAAAGTTAAATTCAATACATAACACAAAAAATCAAATGAATGAAATACATATATATTATCTATAAATGAAAAAAATATATACCTCTAAATTTTGTTTTAGTGTTTGTAAACTATGATCTTGATAAAAAAAAAGTAATTAAAATTATTAGAAAATGTGAAGCAAATAAAAAAAGAGTTAAAAATAAATAATAATGTTAGAAAATAAAATTAACTCAAAAAATAATTGACATACCTTAACTTAATTGTAATATTGATCAAACCATTAAAAATATTAAGAAATTTGCATTAAAAAAGAATTTGAATAAAAATAATGCACTTGTTGGATTATTAGATGTGGAAATACATACTTCATATTTAACTTGTAATCAATGCAAGTTCAATCAAGGAAATATTAAAAGATTTTGAAAGTATTAAGGATATAATAAGTTATTTTAATTTGTTTGAATTTTTTTAAAAAATACCAAATATTAAAAGATTATGAGGAAATCTATGAAGATATTAAAATTTTCAAATTTAAAAGAGATATATGTATATTATTGAAGATTTTATTTTAAAAGATATATATCTAAATTATATTTAATTTGTATGCTTTACATATAATTAATCCAAATATTTAAAGTAATATACATGGGAAAAAGTCAACAAAGTAATTTAAACTATAATGATTTAATAAAAAAAATTAATATTTAAAAGTTAGCATTTGAATTTTGGATTTGACATATATTGAATATAGAGTTAATTGAGATTTTTTGTGATTTAAATTAAGTTAAAGTTTATATAAAATTGAAATATTGGATAAATTTAATTTTTAAATTTTTAAAATTATTTAGTAAATAATTAAAATTAAAGAATTATTTTATGTATGAATTGTACATGTAAGTGATCATGCAAAAATGCTTATTTAGACGTATATTTAAAACTATCTTATGTGTCATCAAAATATATTGTACACATAAGATTACACGTGAGTAAATATTATAAGGTATTCTTGTATGTTGTAACATAATATTATATATGAATGAATTTTTTATTTAAATCTTAATAAATTTTAATCTATAAATATATTTAAATAATAATTTTATCTATAGATAATATCTAATCAAATAATAATATTTAATTTTTGGTATTTTAATATTTATCCTCAAAAAAAATCTAATCAGATAATTACTTGATAACTTTAAACTCAAAAAATTTCATCAAAGTGACCAATATGGCTTAATAGAGTTTAAAAATTATTTAACACATTTTCTTATTGCTGCTATTTAGTTGTGCATTGTGATTTCATCTGCATAAATAAATGAAACAAATTTATTGAGTTTATTTTCTCATTTGTTTTTAAATTATAATAAAAAAAGATATTAGCTTAAGTGGGTTCTAATTAAATTTATTATGAATTAAGAAATAGAAAAAAAAATGTTACAACTTATTTGGAAAAAAAAATCCTACCTAACGAAGTGAATAGTATGTTTAGTGAAATAGTACCTATCATAAAAAAAAAAAGCATATTAGTTAATATAGTAAGAATAAACTAATAAAATGAGAGATTAAATTAATAGTAAGGAAAATACATTTAGCTCATATTTTTTGTGAGACATTAGGAAAGTTATATAACTAAGAATTACCAACAATGAGAGCTTTCTTAAAGTTGTTATGGTATTTATATCTTTTTTTCTCATTTTCTTAAAATATTAATATTAAAAGTCTATGACAAATATTGATTTAAATTTAAATTTTATTTTAATTCAAATATATCTAAATCTATTTTTTAAAATTGGTAGATTGTTTATTAAAATTATCTTTATCTATAATGCTTAAAATATTAATATTAAAAGTCTATGATAAATATTGATTTAAATTTAAATTTTATGTTAATTCAGATATATCTAAATCTATTTTTAAAACTGGTAGATTGTTTATTAAAATTATCTTTATCTATAACTAATATATTTAAAAGCTGGAGATAATACAATAATTATTTATCAAAAATATTAAAGATATTAAATAATATTTTTAAAAGTTTTGATAAATTTAAATAATCATGTGAAGTGCATAAAAATTGGAAAAAAAATAAATTATTTTAAAATTAATTTTAAATTGAGGTGAAGTGATATATAGAAAAAAAGAATTTCATTAAAATTTAAATTGATTTTTGATTAAATTTTAAAATTTTAGATAATTTAATAATTTTTAAAATATATTTTTTATAAATAATTTAAATTTAATAAATATCTTATATATCATCATAATGAAAAATTTTAAAAGTTATCATACATGTCGAAAAAAAAACTGTCCACATAAACGTTCATATCAACAAATATTATTTGGTAACTATGTATATTGCAATATAACATAATATATATATATATATGTATATATGACTTGGTGTTTTACTACTCACGTATAATTTTTGGAATTTAAGGTTATACGAAAACTGAAATTTTTTTTTTTTTAAGAGAGGATGTGGCTTTAATCGGGCTATTGCTTACTTTTCGCTGGAATGATATTTGTACATATACTAGTCTTTGTCATACTCAAAATAGTTTGATGTGGAGTTTTTTCCGTCTGGTAAATGTAGGAAAGGCATTGATCATGGAGATTCTATTTGCTCTTGCAAAAATTGCAAGATGAATTGCATTTCTCATGTTAAAGCTCCATCATGCCATGCCAACTTTTCAAGTAGGAAATATCAGGATGTTAAATACGTCTTGGCCTACCTGGTTTCATCTATCTTGTTCGTTTAAATTTGTTTCATTTACTATTTCAATTAGGTGGATTGTCCCTCTATTTTTAGCTTAATGAATTTAATCCTTACGCCTATAATGTTAATAAAATATTATATATATATGTATTTTTTAGTAATAAGGATTTGAGGTTTGACAACTTCAAGTAAATACATTTATGGTTTATTTGGATTTGGATGACAATAGTCTTTATGCGCTTAACCTCTTCCACTGCTCAACAATAAATTAAAATCTCGCAAGATGTCACCTACTCTTTGTACATATAAACATTGTAACGTGTGGCTTTCCATTCCATATTTGTCTTTCAAGGTGGTTGCTTTTTTGAGGCGACGGTGTTAATTCCTTTTTCACAAGTCTTGAAAGTTTAGGATTGCTTTTAGTTTTCGACTCCAAACCTTTTTTTGCTCTTTTTTTCTTTTGAATGATTAAAAATAATAATATTTAATTTATTCAATTAATCATTTTATTTATTTTTATTCTTATTCTTTTTAAAATAATTTAAAATTTTTAATTCATGTACAAAATTAGAAATTAATCGGGCATAAAATTAAAAAAAAAAAAAAGGTTATAAAATATGTCAACTTTTATTGAGTTTGACCAAAATTTGTTTTTATTAGGCTTGACTCTTTCCCAATAGTTTTTATTTCTCTTCATCTCTGAGGGATTAATCCTGAGATCATCCATTTTCCACATGATATTCTCATTTATTGTTATTTGATTTTCAAATTCAAAGAAAAAAACAACTTTTTGAAAGTTTTTGAATCGTATATTTATTTTTTAAAAAAAACTTTTTCTGTGTGTGATTGATTGTATTATAATTTTTGAAATTTTTTTATGATTTTTATATTTTTTATCTTTTATTATGTAATTTTATCATTTCTTTTATTTTTTATATATTTTTTTTGTAATTATTGAATTCTTTTATAGTTTTCGTAATTTTTGAAGAATTAAGGATTGAAAAAGACAAAAAGAGAGAGAGAGAGAGAGAGAATCAAATTTTAGTTTAAAATTTTTGGGAATTAGTATTTGAATTATGGTATTTGATTTGAAGTTTTTGGAAACCAACTATTTTGAGTATTCGGTTTAAAATTTCGGAAAATTTTAGTATTTGTGAATATTTTTGGTTTAATTCTTTGCAAAAAAAATTTTTCTGGCCAAAAAAATATATTTTATTTTTCTCTCTCCAGTTTTAATATCTTTCTTTTTCGTTTTTCTTCTTGTATTTTAATTTGCAAGGTTTTTAATATGACTTTTTCATATCTCTCTATGTACTTTTCATACATATTTTTTCTGTATTTTGGCATTTTAATATTAGAAAAGAATAATAGTAGTTAATAAAAATAGAAAAAGACTATCACTAATCAATACAAGAGCAACCACATAGGAACATTTTTCTTATAATATTTTGACCTTAAAAAACCAACCCTGTGGGAAGTAGTTGGCTGCTATGTAGTTTATGATATATTCCATCCTTTAATCGACGGGACTTTTTTTTTTTTTTTTGAAGCATTCAAAAAACTTGGAGATCCAAGAAGACAAGCAATCTGATGCAAAGTTCTACTTTTCATTATAAAAGTGAAATAATTATTGTTTTGAGGTGATTTTTAGTGAAAATTTTTTGGTTAGATGTATATATTATGTGATACGTGCCTAATCTGATTGGAACTTGTGCTAAAGTACTGAATTGGTTCTTTTATAAGTTGAACTATTATTTCATTTTTTTGCATACAAGGCTTATTGTTTGTTAAGATCCTTGTTTTAAAGATTGCTCTTAGCCGTTTGGGAGTAGGTGCGAGAGCTGCTGGCATTTCCTAAGATTTGTTAAGGGCTAATCAGCGTAAAAAGGGTAGCAGAGGATAATATATCATTCATACCGATAAGCGAAATATAATCTCTTTAGAATGTTCTCTGTTTTCTCGTCCGTAACTACCTCTTTTTCTGCTTCCTCTAATTTCTTCTCTGTTCTTCATCGGTGACCACCATTTCTGTCATAAAAGTTTTTTTGGTCGTACCATTATGCTATACAGAATGTTTCCCATTAAAAGTAAAAAGGGCCTTGATAGATTATTAGACAAGGCAACATGGGACTGCACCGGGATGCTTTTGGCTTTGCTTTCACTTCTTCCACTAGATTATACACTAGTTTTTTTTTTTTTTTTTTAATGATGAAATCATAAACAGTTTCAAAGACCAGTTAAAAATCCTTGATTTTTGGTCACTGCCTCAAGATGATGAAATATCTTCAATATTCATTCCCCACTGTTGATGAAAAGAATAGTACCCCAAAAAAAAAAAAAAAATAGCAGCAACCGCAACTATATTTTTCGGTGTTGTCACCATTTTGACAATTTCGCATTTCCATTCTCTCTGATACAGCTTTGTTGTGGTGAATGATAACATGTGTACCTCAAACCCATATATGATCATGGGGGGAATTTTGGCCCTTCATAAGACATTTACGAGAAAGCTTTGAGCCAATAAACGCTGCTACTTTGCAACCATGCATCAGCTCAGTTGATCTTAGGTTTTGGTCGTCCTGGCTTTAGCACAAAATATAGAACACCTAAAACAATCAAGATAGCAGGAATTGTTGTCACATCGAACTCTACATGTACTTTCCTCTCTTTTGTGCAATGAATTGGGTGAAGAAGATATATGGTTGTATTCACTTGATCAACAAACCTGCATAAGAAAGTGAAATTACCAGATCAGCCCCAAAACTTTAACTGCTTGCACACACACAGAGAGAGAGAGAGAGAGAGAGAGTGAGTAAAGAACAAAAACTTCATCAGAACATGTTTAGCACAAGTGGAATTGGTCTCTGTTTGTGCTCAAAAAACAATTAAAACATAGAGAGAAGGGTGCCAGAAGAGACACAAGCAGTAATCCTGGGTAGAACTTGCAATTATTAGCATCAATAGAAACAAAGAGCTAGCAAACCAAAAAGTCAGTCTACAAGGGTAGGGGTTCTTACTGTTTATAGAGGTGTAAACCCAAAATCCAAATCTCACAAACACACACTAGGGATTCCAATTTTCTACCAATGTGAGATAACAGTTCCTATATGCCACATTGACTTGAGGGGAAATGGGAGGAAAGAAAATGAAAAACTTCTAAGAGGCTTCTTACCTTTTGTGGCCAAGGCATTGGTTACCATACTTCTCCAAAACGCACAGTTCAACCTCTCTCTCTCTCTCCTGTAATTAGCTATTAAAATAAGAGAACAAGAAGTGGGTTCCTAATAATTTTCTTTCGCTCGTTCTTTTCAAGATCCCAAAGTTTCTTGAGGTTTCAGGTTTTGGACTAGAATCAATCTGAATTTCAACAGGCCATTTTAGTTCCATAAAATAAAACCGCCTCACCTATGGTCATTGCAGTTGAGTTCATAACAGTAACCCCCATGATAATGAATTAATTGAACTAAGTTCACAATTCAATGGAATGTCATAAAAATCAAAATCCTTCTGGAAGTCTCACATTTTTTTCATAAACATCATACCATCAAATTCAGGAAAACAGTTTGCTTTTAACAAATCAGAAGATATTACCACAAAATGGACCATCCTCCAATGTAATACCATAAACATCTAAATCACAGCGGGCCTCTGACATTTTTAGCTCAACAAATAAATCATCCCATCAAAAACACTTAGTTTGAAGAGATCAGAAGATATTACCACATATTTAGGCATCGAGCTGCAGTGGTAAATGATTACTGAATTATAAATGCCAAGTACACTGAGCAGTTAGATTGTACCAACAACCAATTCAATTAATTGAGAAAACAAAATCGATCCACATCCCCATCATCCAAAGGCAAAAGACAGCCAAAAAGCTTGGAACTAATGGCTGGATACAACTGCTTATAATATTTGCTTTCTCTATTTTCATTTGCTTAATGTTGCTTAAAGAGATTTATAAGCTTCACCTCAGTTCTTCCCAGCATTTATATGTCAAAATTTCCATCCTTTTAAATATCATATTTTTCTCAACAAGTATTTTGCTCGTCTTTTTCAAAAACTAGAAGTCTTAAGAATTTAACTACACTACTTGAGGATTAATGTGTTTGCATGCAGATGCTCAAATTTAGGGGAAAAAAATGCATCAGTTGCAACTGCCCAAAAGCTCATCATCAGAAGCCTTACTTTTCTAACTGACAAAGTAATCTATGCAAAACAAAGATCTCAGTTCCGCATGACTATTTTGAAATTTAACCAAATAATAAGGACAGGAAATAATAAAGACTTTTAGCAAAAACAAACCCTTTGGTTGCTTCCTCTAAGGTATATAGCAGTCTCATGGCATCTACATAACGCAATTCTCCAGCAATAGTTGAAATCTGAAAAAAGAGAAATGCGTGTTAGCTTTTAAAGTAAACAGTTACTACCCATCATATAAGTATAACGTGGTATTAATTGAATTAATTAAATAAAATTAATCAAAGATGACAAGCAGTGCACTTACTCTCCTCCATAAGCTGACAACATAATTATATTTGTTCACTAACTCACGCTCCTGAGACTGGAAGTGTTTAAAGGTTTTCTCAGCTGCTATTTGTTAAGTCTCCCATTGTAGAAACTTCATTTTTACCAAGTCAGGACTAAATACACTCTAAAAGCAATTCTTACTATAGCAATGTTTCGAGTATCAGATTTTGTTGACTTAAAAACCCGTCAAACTGCAGGAACATTTTCTTGTGGAAACAGTCATGCCCTAATATATGGTACAAAATATGATAAATAAGAGGTACCAAGCCCACAGCCATGGGTGTATTTTAAATCCAAGTCTAACATGATTAGGGGGATTATGAAAAGGCCACCTTCCTTGCATAATTTTGTGTTTGAGCATGTTATGAATCACATGGGCGCAAGCATGCTGTCCTTCTCAAATTATTTATTTGCAGAAAAGGATACTTGTACGCTCCCAGAGTAGAAGGTGAATAGCTGAATTGACCAGCTTTATTGACTCCTCAAGAGTTGTGATGATGTAGCTCCGAGCAATCGTATCTGATTGAAATTTTGATATATGCCAGCCTTGAGAAGTAATGGAGAAAGGGTTGCATCCCACAGACCATACCCAATCCTGTCAAAACAGAAGCAACAAAGTTTGCCCAAATTATTTAGGGTCACCTTACTTCGCCGCATGCTATCGCCTCTTCATTGCAAATGTCAGCTTTATATGCACATAGGACTCACATGTTAAGTCAATGTGACATAATATGCGTTTAGTGACATAATATGGATTCAACAACCAAAGTGTATATGGGAATAAGGCAACTCAATTATTTATCATATATTGTAATTCACATATCTAGAACACCAAGTCAGGCATTTTTTCCCTTTTAAATGGGCGTGCTAGACCCTCACCGTATTGCAAGGCGGGGGTGGCAACACTGAAGAATAGCCCCCACCACAGTGGCAAGCTACTATTATGGGCCCTTCCCTTCAAGGGATTTTATATTAAGTGAACCAGAACACTCGCCAGTTATCAAATCCGAAACCGATAAGAGCAAATGCTACAATTTTCTTTTCTTTACAAAAAAAAAATTTACAAAATTTCAAGTGAATCAGCAGGCTCTGATGTTATCAGATTGTAAACTGAAAACAGATACTACACTATATTCATTTTTGACCATTATCAGATAACACAATCTTAGTCAAAGTCAAAAGGCATGTTCACACATCATGTATCAGTTCCAGAGGATAGAAACAGAAAGTAACTGACAACGACAAAGCAGACAAACCAAAATATGGCTGTACATGTGCATAGATGTCCTGCATCCATGCATGTGTGTTTGTGTGTGTGAGAGAGAGAGAGAGGGATTAAAATAAAATGCAAATTATAAGGGTGAACTTATAGAAAGAACTTGAAAGGTTTCATCTTCAAGATAAATGTGCAAGAACTTCCTCCACCAGGCCCCACGCATAAAAGGAGAACGGCAATTTCAGACCCTTACTTTTTCAAAAAAGGATTGGTAAGGTTGAATGTAAGCATCCTCATTACTTAATCATGGGTGAGAAAATTAGCAAACCTCGATTGCAGTTTCATGGGCATGACTGTAGACAAAATGAAGGGGTAGCAAACCAGCCAGATGTTCAGACACGGCAGCCAAAGCAGCTTTGATGGGCCTCCTGAATATAGGGAAAAAGGACAAAAACAAATAAATAAATAAAGACAAAAAATAATTGTGCATCTGTCAGGTTGTCTGCTGCATGATTCATCAAAGTTTGAAATGGTGAAGGAAAACACATGATGCATCAATATACAAATTGCTTTTGGGATTAACATAGTTCTGAACTCAATGCCATTTTAAAAGAATCATCTAATACACAAGAAAGAAACAATGCCGGAAAGCACCATCTTTAGCTTTTGCAATTATTTTGACCAAAAGCAACTTCATTTTTCTTTTATGAGATTACATGTACATGTAGAATTAGAATTAAAAAACCTGCAACACATGCAACATAATTATTACATTCAATAGAAGAAACCAAACAAACAAATCAACAATCAGCATACAGCTAGAAAATTCCAACACAAGCTTGACCAAACCCACAAACAGTGGAACTTGAATTTCAAACCTAAATGTTCTAGGGCCACCTCCTTGTCATGGCGACAAGGCCTCATTGCGACCATAAGAAACTTTATTTAGATATCTAATCAATAGGGGCATAACATCTAATGCTTGGTCATCCAATGTCCCAGTATATAACAGAACACATGGCATAACTTGGGATAGGAGTTCTGCAAATAACAAAAGAGCTGACTTAAAAAGACAATCCAATTTAGACAAACAGAGTTGACAGTCTAAAAGTAAGCTGATTGAAAAGATTACAACTTCCACCACTAACTTGCTGGCACATGTTTTTACATTTTACTAGTCAAATGGATTGATGCCTAAAACTCTTTGCATGCGTTTGGATGAAGGATTTCGAGGAAATTCATTATAAAAAGAATTTTAAAATTCTAAAATTAAATTACTTTGTTTGGATAAATAAAAATTAGAATTGCTAAAATTATTGAAATTTGAAACAGGGATTTTAGAAGGCTCAAATTCTCTTTTTAAATTCTACCTCAACGTGTGAAATTTGTGAAATTCATTGGTTTTTTTAATAAGATGTCAGCATTTCTTATCTTTCTTCTTTTACATAATTTTTATTTTATTTAATTCTAACTACAAAAACTCAATTTTTTATTTTTTTAATGTTATTGGTAATATTTATACATTTTTACAAATATAATGACACCCATATTGCATATTGCTTTGATATTTTTCTTCTTTTATCTCGAATATCATTATTTCTCAATCATAATTAATTTTTATCTCATCAAATTCCAATATTCAAAATTTCTTTCTAAAAATATTTATCCAAACAATGCAATTAAAAATGTTAGTATATTGAATTGATGCATTTTAAAAATTTCAAAATTCCTCATCCAAACACATTTAGATGAAGGACATTTAAGCAACTGAAATAGCACCAAATGAGTAGCAAGACAAACAATGCCAACTCTGCTGGAATAAACTCATCACTCTTTGAGCCAGCATAGGCATTCTTTTTGAGAAATAATGCATGATACAGAATAGCTAAAGTATGAAACCCCTTCCTTTATTTATTTCTTTAAAGGAATGATGCAAACGCAAACCTTAAATCCCACAAAAGTGATTTTCCATTGCACTGCAGATGGCTTTCCCAAGATGATGACTCTGATTGGACAATAATAACCATATCAGAGAGTGACTTGGCCTGATAATGTTTGTCCACTAATAACGGATCAGTATGAATAAACCAAAAGATTGGAACTTCCAGAGTGGACCGGCTATGAGCATGTGATCCTGCATTATTTAAGAATCAAGTGAGATGTTAAATTCAAAAGGCAAATGAAACAACCAATAATTTAGCTTGGCTCCTACATGCAACAAATTGGCACATGCAATGTCACGAGTTCACCTAAAATACAGCCTCAATTCCATATACTGAATGTCTACATTTGAATTGGCACACAATTTTAGCAAGAAAATGTTGATGTTTTAATAATATTGATGTTCAATGGGTTTAAATTCCAAAAACATTAAAATAATCACCGGAATTAATTTGGAATCAGAAAAATTAAAAGAGTTTGAAATGTTAAGAAACGGAGTAGGGACAGTTGTAAAATGTTGCAAAATGGAGAGTTAAACAATCAATTTGGAAGAAAGGGAGTAATAGAGTTTTTATCCATGCATGTGAAATCATGGAACAAATATTTTGAGTGGTGAGTGGTAATATAAACAAAATGAACATATGTTGTGTAAAGAAGTAAATAGGGCTCCTTCAGTGCATTTAAGAGGAAAACTAGAACTGTACTGGCCAATTGACACTACAGTAGGGAAACTCAAACCAAAGAACTTTCGGAATACCTAGAACCGCCACATTCAGAAGAAAATAAAAGATTTGTTTCAACCTTTCTTTTTCCTTTCCTAGAAGAAACAATCAGTCAGAAAGAGGCTATATTTGGATTTGAATACGAACAAAAGATATTAATGTTATTAAGATCAGGAGTTTTGGGTTTTGTTGTGGGTAGTCATCAAAATGAAAGCTACAAAATCAAATGGATTTTATTCCCCCAGTGAGCAACTAGAAGACAGTATATGACCTTTGAGAGATCCATGATTGTTCAGCCTCTGCAACTGATATTGGAGAATTGAAGAATCAAGATAGGAACGTATGGTTTTCCTGTATGTTCCATTAACGAGCAAAAGTGGGACAGCTGCTGCTCGTCGTGCCACAGAAAATGCCATTGCCAAAGCAGGATCTTCTGAAAATGATAACCTATAATTCTTATAAATTAGTACGGCTAGGAACCAAAAAAAACTTACAAGCCAATGAACTAATAATTAGGAGAGAAACGAATAAACAGTTTCAACAACAATTGCTATGGCAACAAATGAAGCATAGGATTTCTACAAAAAAAAGCATCTCATGCAGACCTTAAGATATAGAATAAGACAAACAGCATTGCCACGTTGGTTAGTGAAAGGATTGAGGCTGATGATTTGAGCGGAGATCTTAAAACTTAAGCTGTAGACACTCATTCAGAATGCATGGATGCTGATTAAGGGATTAAACTATTTAAGATTTTATTTTGTTATTTTGTTGTAATAGCATTGAAGGTTATTTTAGTTTTCTGTTTATTGAGTTTAAGCTCAAGGGAATTATTGCAATTTTAGAATTTGCTAGAAATTTCAGATTGTCTCTAGAATCTTATTTTGAGTTTTCCTTGTCAAATTAGGTTTTCTTTTAAGTTTAGTTTGTTAGTTTTCTATTTGTAATCTAAGTATTTTTTAAGTCCTACTTGGAAAAAGAGCTGTAATTCTTTTAGATTGGAGCTAGAGTTGGCAATTGGGTGGGTTCTAGTTACTTTTGAGTCCAGGTTCACTTCATGTTTGGGTCGTCTCAGATTCATGCCATCATGAACCATGTCATAGTTGAGCCATTTTAAGTTCAAGTCAACTTCAATTCGGACAATTTTGAATTTGAACCATTATGGATTCGAACTATTTCCAGTTCAATCCATCTCAGATTCAGGTGGATTCGGGTCACGTTGGGACATAGATAAGTTATCGGCATTTTTGTAAATTCGAATACAATAAATAATTTTGTTTTCTTCCTACTTGATGTCAAGCCAAAATCGTTGATTAATTTAATAAATTTAAAATGAAATTGTGATATAAAAAGATTGATAAATATTTGTGTAATATAAATGGTACAGTAGCTTTATCTATATGCTCATAATTAGTATTTCTTTTTGTGCATTTTGTTGTTATCGTTTTAGGTATTATTATTTTTTATAGAATACCAATTTCAATTTTTCAAAAATTTCTTCCAATTTATAGTTATTTAATTGATCAATTAGATTTATAAGATTTATAAAAAGAAACTCATATGCTAGTTAGAAGAAATTCTAGAAATTAAACTGATTGTATTTAAACTTAAAACTAATTGTGTTGATATAATTATATAATAATATAAATAATATTCATTTTCATTAAGGATTTGTTCATTAACTTATTTTAGACAAAGTCATTTATTTGCAGATCAGAGCATTGAGGATTATAAATTCAGATTTTTACAAGTTTCAAGTCGGATCGGTCTTGAGTTCAGGTTGCTTTGGGTACGGGTCACTTCAAATTTAAATTGATCCAAGTGCAGACTGTTTTGGGTACAGGTGGATTATTTCAGGTTCAGGCTTTTTAGGTTTAGTTATTTCCGAGTTTGGATCTTTAATAGTCAATCCGGATTGGACAGGGTTCAATTTCAAGTCACTTTGGGTATGCTTTTAGGTTTGGTCAAATTTTGCCACCTCTAGTAGGTGCCTATATAAATATCAATGTAATCTTTCTTTTAGAACACAATTTAGTATTGGAGATTTTTCAGCATTGTAACAATTATGGTTGTGTTATCCAATCAACCTTAGGTGTGTCTCCTAAGGAACCCTACAAATGAAGCTTAGGGGTCTTTTTTTATTTAATTTTCCCTATCTTCCTCTAGAATTTAGAATAATTTATATCAGAAAATTATCATAAGTCCTAGCCCTCAAAGCTGTCTTAAATCACTCTCCTTTTGTCTTTATAACAAAAATAAATACCCAACAATGTAAATAGATTCCAAAAAAAGAAACAGAAGATCCAAAAACTATAACTTGAATCCCCCTTGTAAACACCTATGTCTTTTTCAGAAACCCACACTTGTACATCTTTTTTTTTTTAAGTAATTAGTAATTGCAATTCTAAAAGTTCTTTTATGTTTTATCATCATCGCAAAAACCCTCATCAATGCTTATTTTCAAGACTACATCCTTTCATCAATACTGAACTCCATTTTTTAATTCATTTTCTACAAAAAAAAAAAAAAAACTCTCAATCTAATTTCAAATTTACTTCCACTACATATCCTACAAATATAAAAGAAACTATGGACTATAGATACAAAATAAACAACCATATTTATCCGGTGTCACCATTCAAAGCAAAATTTTATAATGGGAAACAAAAAAGAACAAAAAACAAAAAGAAAAAACAAAGAATAGTTCAGAATGCGTACACGTGCTGACTAAACATTACATTCTGTGAAGGTATCGACAAAGAGGAAAGCCCATCCTGGAGAACCTTTAGGTCCACTGGCAATTGTTTAATATGTCTAACTTTCTGTATCAGTGAGAAATTAGAAAATACAATTTAGTATTTTGATAAATAATCCTTGGAAAATTTTCAGATGTATCATACCTCCTGCGTGATGAAAAACAATTGATACGATAACTTCTCATAATAATGGAAAGCACCATCAGCAACTGAAGGAGATATTATGTGTCTCACAGATCCCCATAGGGTCGCACCAAGGTGTGCAAGGAAAATATCCCGAGCAACTGTGTAGTTTTGGAATTCCTGCACAGAAACAACTCAGTTCCAAAGAAATGCAATTTTCTGGTTTCAAGACAACAATAGCTTGAATAAGAGTGTAGTTACTATAGATGATCCCCAAAAGTCCTAAAGAAAATGTTATGCTGATATTTTTCATGGAAATAAAGGATACCTCATGAGTATCACTGAACAAATTCCAGTTCTCCATCCGTTTTAAAGCATCTATAGCCTTCCTCCGGTGGCTCTCATCATACTCTTCACCTTCAAATGACTGAAGCTCTTCTTTTAAATCCCGCATTCTCTCATCAAGCTCTGAAATCATAAATCTTCGTAGTGAATAAACTTACCAGATATTTCATATTAGAAACTTGCAGAGTATAAAATTGCATAGCACCATAACTCTTACAGAAAAAATATTAGAATTAAAAGTAAATTGAATTTTTATAAAGCCATTATCTTAGACAGCCCAGCCCAACAAAATAAAGAAACTAATTAATAAAACAAGTATGTAATGAGAAACATTTAGGCAGTTAAATCTCAAGGAATGACTTTACCTACAGATTATATATTGTTCCATTGAAACTAAAACAAGTGATTCAAAAGTAAAGATTTCATTGCAAAAACATGAGACAACAATAAATCTTCATTGTAAATAGACTTGATAAGAATGGTCTGCCTTAACACCAACCATCTACGCTAATATCCTATGTTGTTTTGACTATTCGTGATCCTTAAAGCACCTCTGTTAGATACATATTCAACACCTCAAAGTGAACAGTAGTACAATGTATGACCCTCCAAATTAAAGGAAAACATAGTATAATATCCCCAGTCCAAGCAACATACTTCACGAATCCCCTGGCAACTTTCCCAAAAAGAGGAAGCAGAAACAAGAAAAAAAGCAATGAAGGTAGAAATAGCTCGAAACATACCATCACATAGAGAGAGCTTAACTTTCCTTCCTTTACAATGCTTGAAAGCAAAAAGCTCATAGATATCAATCTCCGCTAGAAGAATATCAATTGCCTGATGATCTTTCTGCAATATTAAATCCAGAGTCAATTAAAGAAGAAAAGTGCAGAAATCTAATAGAGAAAAAACCTTCAATTGCATATTAACAATGAGCCTCCAAAACAGTAGAGAAATTAGTTATCAGTTTAAGCTTATTTGTTAGAAGTATATGCTCCATTTAGGGATGAACAACCCATCGAGGGACAAACACAAGACAATCCAAAGAAAGCCAAGAGACTGTTTCAAGGGGACGTCAATGGCTAAAACCTTATGAATATACTAATAAACCAATGACTGCCAAAGTCACAGAAAGGTACCTGAGACACAACATGCAAGTGCTTTAACATCATAAAATCATATAAATCATGACTTTTTTGGTCATATACTTTACATTTACATAAAACTAGTGGGAAATGTGAAAGAGAAAGTTCTGTTTGTGGTACCAAAATGGTTATATTAATCAAAATTTAATGTCATATAATTTAGGAAGAGAAGCAGAAGATATCAAAAAAGTACTACTTTACAGGGAAATGTGAGAAATTTCGATATTTGATGAGGAAAGGCCAAGCTGGGAACAGATGAACCCTTCCATAAGTATGTATATTTATATGAAATGTGTTCTGCATAAATAAATTAATATAAAAATACAGACACACTCAACTTCCGGCACTTTGAATCCTTATTGAAGCATGGCACTGATAAATGGAACCCTTCAGATGGCAACTTTTAAATGACAAGATAAGAACCATATATAAATTCCATTATAAAAATAGAGAAACACTCTCCTCAATTCAAATCCTACCATGATTTTGTGATGCATATAAAGCAACAATTGCCACTGTTTGTGCGAAAATGTGTATAATTAGTATCAATGTATTCACATGACCATGTAGAGCAAACATACATCACCAAATACAGCAAACTTTTCCTGAATTGCATCTTGCAAGCGATCTTCAGCTTCATCTTCAGAAATTTCTACTTGCCACAATGAAAACAAAAGTAAGTGCAGATAGGGGCAATCAAAAGTAATAAGTGACAGTTGAACAGATGACCTTATAAATATTTTACAAATACCAAATTAATTAAGCAGTTATCATTAAGAAAGAAAGCATAATAAGAATCAAAGAAATAATACAATGTTTACAAGAAAGAATTCAATATCAAAATGGCCATACTAACAACAAAATATCAAAGACAAATTTCTAAGAATTTACTGACGAAAGTTGATAACAACCAAGCATTAGTTTCATTTACATCCGGGAACATCACCAAGTGAATGTTTCAAACATAAATTAATAAATAAATGAAAAGCTAAACAAAAGAAAAAAGAATGATAATAGCACCTTCAACAGCACCTATGGTCTTTCCCACATTTGGCAAACTTAATTCTGTTCGCACACCTTCTCCACCAACCGCAGGTCCCCAGGAAAAAGGTCCAGCACTCAAATCAATAAAAGCCCACCTGACACAGCAATAGTAATAATAATAATACACACATACACATTATTACAACAGTCCAATCTGTACATGTTTTTCCGTGTACTAAACATGTAAGAGAGAGAGAGGAAGTGGGTGAGAGATATTTTGAACCTGTCCTTTCCAATCCATGTATCTGTTAGACATTCTGCATGGTGATCATTGAAGTCCCCAGACTTTAATTTCCTTTCAAGAAGAAGCTTCATATCTTCATTCTTCCCATTTAATAACTTGTGTTGTTTATGTTATAGATATATTTAAAAAAAAAAAAAGGAAAATGTTAAACAAAAGTTGCAGACTTGTCAAAGTCTAATGATTCTTGATTGTGCATCAAATAGAAAAGATGTGAAAAACAAGATCAAGTACCTGTAAAACTTTGTTCTGAATTATTTCAGCAGTGTCCTTTCCTTGATACAACTTCTCAACATTCATCAGTGCATCTAAGCAAATATTGTGCCATTCCACCTAAAAAAATTATCAACCATAATTAAAAATAAAAACCTTAATTGAAATAGTTGTGGCTCCAAGACGCTTCTTTGTGAGCAACAAAATGATATACCACACGTGATAGTTTACTCTTAACAAAAGAAAACCAAGAATTGAAATTTCATGCATCCTTTTGATATTAGCTGTCAATATTCAGATATCCACACTGAAAATTCACTATTACAAGTTTACAAAAAAGTAATCTCAAATTACCAGGTTAAAGTCGAAGGAATGAAGATACATGTCATTGTCATAACAAGAAATCCAAAAGAATATAATAAAATGAATTGGGGAAGTAGAATTAGTTAAAATGATGGGATCAGTAGTGCCAGTTTACAAACAATATACTCAGATTACCAGATCAAAGTCAAACAAATGAAGCAAACAGATTGCATTAGGAAAAGGGACAGACCGTGTCAGTTTCCTCTGTAACTGTCCATGCAAACTTTGCCATTGGATGCTTTCCATACAACGGTTTCTTAATATTATCAAGAGCTACAAATTATTCAACATATTAATTCCCAGAAAGAAAAATGGGAGAGAATCCCAACAACTGCAAAAAAAAAAGAAAAAATGAAAACAAGAAGCACACAATTTCATACCAAGAACACTTCCTGGAACACTCCCTGACTGAAGGATTTTACTTTGCAGACTCTTATCCTGATAAATAAAAATTGAATTAAAGCAGGTTTTCAAGTATGAATGTACCAGGGAAAATGATAACAGGGAAGCAAATATTCTACTACAAAATTTACCAAGACAGAAAAGGAATTAACAAGTACAAAATGATGATAAATGATGATAAACTTTATTTTACAACAAAACTGAAAAATGATACTTAATGGACAAAGAGAACAGAAACTGGAACATATAAGCAACAAAGAAACCCTCAAGTACCTCTTTCAGAAAAGTAATTTCTGACTCGCTTAAACCTCTCCTGCCAATTAATTTTTTAAAAGCAAAGACTTTAAGAAAGAAACAGAAAACAAATAAATAGCTGAAGAATTCATCTATTATGAAATAGATATAAAAATAAGTTTAACTACCAGGAGTAACTGATCCATATACCAAATAAATAAACAAGAAGCTAGATAAATATGGTAGGTAGAGGAAGATCCTGAACTTTTGTCACCAACTAAATGGTGGTTTAGCCTTTTGCAATAATGACTGGTGGTTTAACCTTGAGACTAGAACATGTTAATAGCGTATCAGTTCATAGAATATTGCTTTGCCATTTGAACTTGGAAGTACAAAATTTTATTTGCAAAGACTGAGAAATAATGTACATTTTTCTCAAGATTTAGAGGCTATGGTATGGAAAGACCATTATTAGTGCGTTCTGCATTTTTGTTGATGGAAATCTAATATACGTTTGAACTCAGAAAAGATCTTTGTTACAGTTATGGCATATATAGCACTATAGCTCACTCACCCCTTCTGCAGGTTACACATGCTACTCCAAACATAATTTGTCCAAATACAGATAACTGAAAACATGTTTTTCTGTGCATACATAAAGGGAAGTCAAAGGGTGAGGAGGATTCAAACCTTGGACTCTATCCTCTTAAGGGGGGTTACATCTGCAGGCCAAGCCTAAATCATTATAGAAACCATATGGTTGAGCCACCAAAATGAAATTTTATAATTTAAGTCATAGTTCTTTCCTCTGTTACATGGACTCATCATTTTTTGGTGCCATACCCGTGTTGACATGACACAGCACAGATACGTGTTGACTCAGCAGTGAAACTTTTGGATGTTACTCCCATGAGCCAATTCAAACAACAAAGGAAGAAAACGAAGATCAGAGAAGACAGAGGAAAATAGCTGATCAGTTGCTTCAAATTGAGATCAAATGGAGAATTCTTACTACAACCACTTTCGTGCACAAATCTAATCCTCAAATCAAACATGAAATTAACCCTAGATAACAACATGAAAGAGAGAGGGCAAGGAAGAGTTGTGAGGAAATATAAAGAGCGAATAAGAGAATGACGAAAATGGAAAATACAGAATAGAGAATGGCATAAAGCGTGAGAAGGAACTGAAAAGGTTACAAGAAGATAAAAAATGACAATATCTGGCCCAGTAAATCATGTGATTCTTTTCCAACAACAACACATATTGAAGCCTATATAATATTATTGTCTTTGTTATATGCCCATATAAAATAAACAAACAAAGGAATAGAAGATCTAAGCTCCTTTGGTTTTGGGTCAGCATTTGCCCAATTACTATTCAATTTTCTTATATTGGGCCAATATAAATGCCTCAAAGGTTTATGTAGACTTATATAGCCAATTTAGAAGTACCTTTCTGTTCCCTATAATTTTAAAAAAGTATCCGTGCACCCATATCCTATTTTCAGAAACTTTTTCAGCCAAATCCTTGAGTCCAAAATTTAAGAAATGATGATTCATGCATGCCATGGCTTGTAAATCATGTAACATATTGGTGACAAGTGAAAAATGCATTTTTAACTGTCTACAAAATTAGTTTCTAATCAGAGAAACAGATGAAAAGGAAAGAGGGGGAAAAACCTAATTGTGATTGTATTAACCAATTCAGCCAGCAATAATATAGTCCCACTCAAAGTCAAAGGTTCAAGGAGATTGCAACTCCAATTAGTGCAATAGACATGCACGTGCCATGCAGCGAGAGTGAGAAAGGAAGTAAAATACAAAATGGCAATTCCTACATCAGAACTTCCACAACATGAATTTTGTGCAAAACCAACTTCAAATGAATTTTAGTCCTAAATGAAGGGATCGCATTGAGCAATTGATCCATCCTTCAGAACCAAAATGGATTTGCCAGGTTACCAACGGTTATATGTTAAACAGATGCTTCGGTCTTAGTCAACAAATCTAGATTTAAATAGGAGTGCACCAGATATTCCACTCAGTTTTATATAGCCTGCTGAAATATCAAATAACCTTAGATTATGTTGGAAGGAAAAAGAACAGAAATTTACCTCAGTTAATTGGTATGAACCAAGAAATGTTAAGAGCAATAGCTGAAACTAAAGGCAGAAGATCGAAGGGCTAGATCATATGGATGTTTTTACAATTTTGGCTTTGTTTGTCCTAAAAACATAGGGAAAAAATATAAGAATATTGTCTTACTAAAATACGCACCGGTAGCCATATTTAGATCTTTTCAAATCACGAGAGGGATTCAAAATGAAGATGTTATATGCATCTTCAAGCTGAAGATATTCAACAAGGCTAGTGACAAGAACATCCATCATGTCCACATCTACTTGCCAAAGAGAATCAGTGCCATCCCTGTCAGCAATGAGCCATAATTTACTGAATGAAGCTAAAGACATGTAATTCAGATTACTAAACCTAAGCCAACCAAGTGAGAAAAATATTCAATAAGAAACTCTAACAGTCTATAGAAAACAGTCTGCACAAGGAGACTATGTTCTTAACCAGCTAGAACATCTAATTATTGAAAGTTTTCATCAAAACATTTGACCATTGAATGTTTTCCTCATCTCACAAGATTTGAAAAATACAAAGTTCAAAAATATGCTAATAAAGAAAAGAAGGATCCTAACTTGAATATGCCACAATATGTAGAATAGAGTACTGGACTAGAAACCAAATGATGCAACAAAACAAATGAGTAGCAATGATAGATCCCCACCTATAAGTGTACAAATGTATCAAGAAAGCAATAATCTACATTTTTTTATTTTCTCAATTGAATTATATTATAGTCTACCAGAAGGGTATTGCCCATAGGACTTTAGAGATGTTTGAAAAAACCATGAAGTACCTATTTCCTGATCAATTTCAGTGGTTGTCATGTGAAAATTAGATTTTTCATAGTTAAAAAAAATAAGGAATATATAAGTCATATTTGAGCCCACATGTAGTGACAACCACCCCCACACAATTTAAAAATATATATATGTTATTTTTCACCCATAAACAACCAAGTAAAAGAGAATTTGGGTTAGGACTTGCTTCACCTGTCACCAGATACATCATCTCTACGTGCGAAAACATTGATGGCACGCTCAAAGACAGAAGTAACCTTTTCACCCATTTGAATGGCATGGACAGAGAAACTGCAGAGAATTCATCAATACATTACAATAATATGAAAATCTTAATCTAAGAGTTGGTAGGAAAGAAATCATGCAAACAGGTGTATAAATCAACAAGAAGTTAATTCTAAAAAAAAAAAAACCACAAAGTATTACTTGTAATTTATATGACTGATGATGGGAAGATGGTGATGTTGCATTTTATCTATGCTAATTTTGTAAAAAGGGGTGAGAAGTTCTCCAATTTGTGGAACTCGTGTATGTGCAAAGATGTGATCTATTTTGGTGAACCATCGCTCAAGTTCTTCCCGATGAAGCTTGAACTCTACTTACAAACAAAAAAACAAAAGTGATCAAGGAAATGAAATATCAGAATTACAAGCATTATTAAAGTGAAAGAAGAAAAAGAAAGTAGTAAGTGAAGTAAAAAAGTGATACCATGGTTCCCCTTTCCTTCAAATCCTATGAAAATGAAATTGACAGGAACCGGAAGGTACATAGAATCTACTTCCATAAGGTTTAGGTAATTTGCAATGTTACCTGAAAAAAGTAAGAGAGACAGATGGTGAACTGAAATGCAATTCCTGAAATTGAAAAGTGAGAGCATATTCAAAACCAAATTAACACACACTTTGTTCAATTACCTGCCTTGGTGTAGTTGTAAACGCCCATTTTAGGACTGCTGGTTTCTAAATCATCGAAATCTGAAAAAGATTATTGAAAAAATTTAAAGAAACAACAACAAAAAGAAGAAAAAATGTAGAAAAGAAAAAAAAAAAAACCTATATATATATATATATATTCATGGGTACCTCCACGTATAACAGCCTCACTCCAAAACCTACTCTTTTCCTTAAGATTGAACAAAGAAAAAACCGAAGAGGAAGAAGACTTCCCACTCTTACGACCTCCAACTGTGGCGTTTGCTATCAACTGATTATTACCATTCCCAAATCAGTACACAAATAACAGAATCTTAAAACAAAGAAAGAAAACCCTTTCAGAAAGTAAAAAACAAAAAAAACAAAAAATTGAAATTACCAGTAACATCATACAAACAAGGAGCAGAGATCTGATTCCACCCATCTTGATTTCCACTCGGAATCTCACTCTCAGACCACGATGCACCGCCTGCGCTGCCCCTCCCTTTTTTCCCTTTTTTTTCCTTTTACAAATTTTATTGTTGGCACTAACCTAGGAAAGAAGATGCGAAAGATGACATATGGACATGTCAAATGTGCTCGGGTACCCCCCCCTTTTTTTTTTTTTTAATTCCTATTTCAATAATTTTGTTTCATTTTCTTTCAACTATGAATTTAGTATTACTAACTCAATTTATAAAATTACGTAAAATCAAAATAAAGTGACAATAATCTAAATCTATATTTATAGTCCATCTGTCTATAATATATAAAAAAAATTAATTTGGAAAACTTTCCTACTCATTATATTTTTAAATTATTATTTAAATCTTTTATATTATAAATATTAATGAAATTGATTCATTTTATAAAGTAATAATTTTAATTTACAAGATTTTTATTAAATGAATTATTTGATTAATTAGATTTATCAATTCATAAGTAAAAATTCTAATTTAATGTGATTTTTAGGCAAGTTAATGCAACTTTTGGGTACTTATATTCAACTATATGTTCAATGAATTATAATTATTATTTAAAATAAATAAAGGCTTAAGGGTCAAGAAGACCTTCAAACAAAAATTATTTATCAGTTAAGTTCTTAATGTTTTATAACATTCAATTAAGTTTTTTATTTTCAATTTTAATCAATTAAACCCAAATTAGATGAAAAGTGGTTAAATGACTATTGAACCCGTTACTGTCGTTACAAATAACCCACATGGATTTTAAATGCAAACATGGCACATAACATGGAAAAAAAAAAGTCTAACGTGGTAATAATGGTAGAAGAGTTTGATACAAGTGACGTAAAAATCATCCCCTAAAAATCAACTCTTAAACCTTTGCAAACCCTAAATATTTGAAATCCTTAAAAATCAATCTCAAAATTTTGAATTTGAAAATGAAAGTTCCCAAATCAATTACTAAAAACAAAATCAAGCACTAAAAACAAAAATTCCCAAATAGCAAAAATGAGTATGGGCTTTTTGAAAGTTCCCAAATCGTAAAATTCTTTTCGAAGAATCTTGGTAACTATGAATGGAAAAAAGTTTTGCTCAAAGAACTTGAAAATTGTAATCGATCTCTCAGGTAGTAAAACCTAGCTAAAACCCACTTTGATTTCATTTATTCCGATGAAAAATTTTGGGAAAAATTTTATGCTGATTATTGCTTTTTTCTTTTATTTGTGAATGGGTGGAGTTTGCTTCATTGAAAGGCGATGACAAAAGCCAAATAAAGGTAACAAAAGATGGGTTTGATCCAATTAATCTAGCAAGTAAGCTAAAAAATAGTGAGTGTGAGTGCTGTAAATGGCGAAAAGAAGGATAAGAAGAAAGATGAGGTGCAGCCAATGGCGTCTATATGGCCATATAATCAGCTTTTATATATGTATTAAGAGTTGCCATCATATGGATATACCCAGCACCATGACCCTTAGTCCATTATGTAAGAGATTAGGATTTTACAAGGGACAACAAAATAGAGATACAACTAAGCTTGAGAAATCTTAACATTTTTTTTTATTTTTAAATGAAAAGAGGCCACATATGCATTTATGGAGAGGGAAATATCCCGTCTGCCACGTCAAACTTTTTTTATCCACGTCATGTGCCATGTTTGCACTTAAAATCCACATAGATTATCTGTAATGGTAGTAAGGGGTTCATCAGTCATTTAATCACTTTCCATCAAATTTAGGTTTAATTGATCAAAAATTGAAGATAAAAGACTTAATTGATAAATGATTTTTTGTTTGAGTGCTTTTTTTTACATTTAAGCCATAAATAAAAAATATTCACTTGTTACATATGATCTGATGCAAATCTTAGCATTTGGTTTTTAAGACCAATTAATTTTATATTATAATAGTGTTCATGTGTTACTATAGGTAGATATGATAATTTGCGTACTTATAAAGTGTAAAACAATAAAAATTCATATTGTGTTTTGTATTTTTTATTTTTGTTAAACCCTCATATGTTTTTTGTTAAAATTTTAATACACGTCACTTTCATGTCTTTTTTTGTATAGTTTTCATGTTTTGTCACCATATCATGTTTTGAATTACTTGGTCTAATCGATGATCAATTAAAAAATAGATGAAAAAAAGAAAAAAAAAAAACAAATGGAAATGAAACATGGATATCTTAATCCTTCTTTTCTCGTAGAACTAATTTAAAAATACCAAAAACAAACAAAAATTGTAAAAGTGAAAAAATGATAAACAAAAAAAGTAGAAAAAATGAGAAAAAAAAAAGCTAACAAATGATGCTATATTGACATCTAATATTGAGTTTAAAATATAATTTCTTAAATTAAGATAAAAACCTTTATTAATATAATAATATATATCTATAAAACTAAATAAATAATAAAATATATAGTTTTTTATGCACATCAAAATTGTTTAGGACAAAAAATTATAAACAAGTTTGTTTAAAAGATTAAAAAAAAGGCAAAAAATATCAAATAAGATATCATGTTGAAACTTACGTTAATATCAATTTTTTTAAAAATTATCAAATTAAAAAAGTAACTAAAAATATATTTTTAATAATGATATCAAATACGTCCAAAATAAAAAAATACTAAAACTATTTGAAAATATTTATCAAATAAAAAAGAGAAAATTTGTAAATAGAAAAAATAAAAAATAAAAGCGAAAAAAAAAATCAAATTACTTGTTATATGATATACTTTTTGTATCAAGTGAGTTATCAAAAAAATAAAATTTTAAAAAATATATAAAATATATAAAAATGAAAAAAAAAACTAAAAAACTAAAAAAACACATGACATGTCTTTCGTATTAAGATGGTTTAACAAAAAGTAAAATATAAAAAAGATTAATTAATTTTTTTATAAAACATGATATCAAGTGTTTTAAACTAAAAAAATAAAAAAATTTATTTAAATATTAAATTAATAAAAATATAAAAAACCCATAGCACCAAATAAAAAAATGTAAAAAGATAAAAATAAAAGCGAATCCCACAAAAAATATATTTGAAAAAGTAAGCCGTACATTTAAAAAATTTATGAATTATAAAAAAAATTAAAAAAACGCAAAACAAAAAAGTGAATATCATAAAAAATTGTGGACTTTATTGAAAAAAAACATTAAATATAATATAAAAAGTAAAAACAAAAACAAACTAAAAAAAAATTGAGCCAAAAAAAAAAAAACAAAAGTAATGAATCCCACTAAAAATAAAATTTTTATAATAAAATATATAAAAATTTTTAAAAAGATAAAATATAAAAAAGGCAAAAAAATACCTAATAAAAAAACGATAATGGGTCTCTCCAGTTAAAAGTAGTCTAAAAAATAAAATTAATTTAATAATAAAAAATATAAACAAAATTTAAAAAAGTAAAATTTAAAAAATAACTAAAAAACCCTAAAGTATGTGTCCTACCTTAGTGTCCCACTTAAAAAATGAAATGGTTGAAGCGGGGCCAACATTACCCTTTCTAAACTAAAGCATTTATAGATTAGAAAAATACTAGTGCTCTACTATGAGTTTATAAAGTAAGCATTTGTATTACAAATTAAACATGGTATTAATAACATTGGTTATTGTAATATACTTAAAATTTTCTCATATAAAGTATAATAATCATGGAATATCTAATTATCAAAATTAGGTTGCAAAAAACAAAATAAAAAAGATGTCATAATGTATAGATCCATGAATCTATCACTAAACATAGATTATGAGAGTCGCCACTAATATTTTTTGTTTAGGTATTGATCACTTGATCGAATCTATCCCATTTAAATAAGAGTTCTAAGATTAACATATGTATATTTAAATAGTAGATTCTGATCCACAAAACCAGGTTTTATGTTCGAAAGTATGATTACGTGTGAGAAAGGTTATAGCACCCTCACAATGCCTATCTAAAAGATGGTATCAGTTTGATTCTAAATAATCCAAGCATTGAATATGTTTATAATTTACCAAAATATTTAACGTCAAAATTAATCCTAAAATTACTCTAATAGTTTGGTAGCAATTTAAGATAATTCTCTCACATCAGGAGTATTCATGAAAACTAGTGTCACATCTTGAAGAAGTTTCGTCATCAAATTTATTAATGTATTTTATTCAGAAAAATTAGTAAAGTCCTCCAATAGTTTGATGGGATTTACTTTGAGTAAATCTCCCAATAGTTTGGTGAGATTTTATTGGAAAGATATTTATAAAATTTTATTTTCTTTGAAAAATTCATTAAATCTTCTAATAGTTTAGTAAGATTTAACCTAAGATACAATCTTCCAATAGTTTGATAGGATAAAAATTATTTTTTCATTTTTTTTTGAAATTTATTTATGAAATTTTCCAATAGTTTGGTGAATTCCATAAAATCTAAATCCATGAAAATTCTCCAATAGTTTGGTAAGATTCATGAATTTATTTGAAAAAAATTTTATTTATTTACTTATTTATTATTTGTTTTCCAAAAACAATATAAAGAATTTTTTTATAAAATATTTAGTAATAGATCACTTAATAAAAATAACAAAATAAAATAAAATAAAAAATAAAAAAAGCTAAAAATAAAAACTTAAAATGTAAAATAAATAAAAATAAAATAAAATAACTTACGATCGGGTCAAGTCGATCCACGAGCGACATGCAGATCCTACTCAAGTTCATGCAGATCCTGGGCACTTAGAAATGACGTCGTGTTGAAACAGTATAAAAGTCGAGTTCTCCATTTTTTTTAAAAGCTCTTAGTCCCCACTCTCTCTGACTCGAAAATTCTCTAACTTTTCTCTAGAAAAACCAAGAACATTCAATCAAAAACTGAAAAACCCACTAGTTTCTAGAAAATATAGCCAAAATTCTGCCAAAAAATTTAAAGCTTGGGGAAAATTCATCGAAAAATTTAAACATTTAACCAAAAACCCAAATTTTCAAAAAAATTTCCAAAAATCACTAAACATTTCCAGAAAATACAATCTAATACAAAACTTTAACCTTAATGTCAGTGATTCAAACCTAACCTAAAAACTTCAAACCAAACCCAAAAGTCTAACTCCAAAATTCTATAAACCTAAACCCTAAAATCTTAGAAATTTAAAATTCCAAAAACTTAAACACAGAGTTTTTTTTCCCAAAATTTTTAGTGTCTTGTTCTACCATAAAGTGTTCAA